TAAACAGGAAGGAAGGAGGTAAAAAAAAAAAAGGACAGTGATTGAGACAGGGGTTTAGGGACTGACAGGATTCAAAGTAGGAAGATAGTTGAGGAAGTTAGGTTGTCAAAGGTGAGGACTGCAAATTTAGGGAGGGGGTGGGGTATTTCACATTCAGGATTCCATTCAGTCCATATCTAAGGCAAAACAACATAGATGACAACAACAAAATCCAGCAAGAAGCTTTTGTTTTATGCCTACATTCATACTGAGGGGCACTGGATCTAACACGTACAGTGGGACATGACATTAAGAGAAGAGATCCCTATTAAAGCAACACAACACAGAAAAATTCACCAAGCAATTACAGTTCAGTGTTCCTGCTTCAGATAATGTGCATGTTTACGTATGTTTAAGTACCTATGTCTTGGTCATGGTACAAGGAGAGGGTAAGAGACAAATAGGTTTCATCTTGGGCTTTTATTAGCAAAACATTACACCACAAGTGTTTTAGACCAAAAGGTAATATCATTAGGAGCATATCTTAAATACGGATAATAAAGCAATTTCTAAAAATTGTAAATAAGTTAATAATTAAACCACCTCATAACCCCAGCAAGATGACAAGTAAATCATTCTGTCTGTAAACTTTTTGGCTGTACTTAAAGTTGAGATAAACCTCGATTAGTTGGAGAGGGCTTGCTGTGATGGCCTCATGGGTGAATGACAGGCATAGGAGAAGTAAAGAGAGCGCTAAGCATGCCTCCTGCAGCCAATTCACAGGTTACACAAAGCAAGAAGGAGCCAGTATAGACTCTGAGGTGTCCAAGAACATATCAGAAAAACGGAGGAGAGTTTAGTCTTCATGCTTGGGATTAGGGGAACAACTACAAAAAGTCATTTTACGGGCAGCAGGCATCCTTGTGAGATGGAAATTAAAGGTGGGGCAGGAGACAGGGAAGAGTGGAGAAGGAAGGAAAGCAGGAACACTGACCAAGTTCGCTGGACCTGAAGAGTTAAGTGTTACCCATTACCATGCACCCAGGCATAGTCTCTCCCATCATGCACCACAGTTAGCCCCACCAGCAAGCTCGGGAAGCCATGGCCAGGGCATTCTCTGCTAAAACATACCATTAACCAAAAGAAGACCACAATGCAGCTACATTCATTTCATTTGTATTCTTTGTTATTGGTTTAATTAATAGTTTTGTAAGGTGGGTAAAAAGTAAAAACACACCAACCTTCTCGCAGCTCTGAGGGATGTAGGGGGTTTGATGCAGAACACAATGAAATGAGGAAAGGAGAAAAACAAGGGAAACACAGAGAGAGTAAAAAAGGCCATATCAAGGCTTTCAACTGCTACTTGAACATCTTTATTTGCTCTAAATTCTGCCTACTTCAGCTGAAAAAGTTAACAATACCTGACAGACTAACATGGTCTTAGAAAAAATAGCTAGCATCATTTTGAAATTTTCCCACTGAAGAAGGTATGTATGCCTCATGCAGCCAAGGAGGTCACCATCGTGAGAAAGAAGATCAAGGGGCTTTCAAAGAATTTGGAGAAGAAATGGTTTTCTTCATATTCTCCCACCCCAGACTCCAGAGAAAGATGGGAGAGAAAAACATCCCCACAGAAACAAAATTATCGCAAACAAAAATTTCAAAATCAAGCTAGGTATTTGCCATAGGGAATCTATCCTATTGTAACTTAAAGCCCTCAGTCTTTTATCTATTCCCACCCCCACCCATGCCTTTTGTAGTTATTCACAGACATGTGGACCAGGAATAAGAGCATTTCCATTGGACAAAAATGACAGAAACAGGCTTTGAGAAAACTGGGGTAGAAAAAATACTTCTTTCTAGGTGAAATGAAAGGCACAGCCATTCATAAGCTCAAAAATTAATCATTTCTATTACTTTAAGAGAAAATATGAATGTATCCTCATAATTCATTCTTGTTCCAAGGACAAATAATATCACTTTTTAAAAATACAATCAGTGTTCCATGGCAATCAAAATATTAAACTTTTCAGAAAGTCAGTAATTTTTTAAACATATGTATATATATATGCATGGACTTATGCACATACATAATACTATGTGTTTAAAATAACAAAGTGTAAAAAGAAGGAAGGTAATTCAATTGTGCTATTTGCATGAAGCATTTTTTTTTTCTTTTCGACTTAGCAGTTTTATCCTTACAGCTCCACAACAGACGTCTTGAAGACATAAACAACTTTATGCTTGGAGTCGCACAGAGAACTGATTAGTAGCACACCAAGCAATTATTTCAGGGTTTGATAAGGAAACAGAAGAGAAAGCATAACAGAAAAAAAAGGAAAAGGAGAAAATTTCAAACAAAGGCAAAGCACAGTTCAATCAACGAGGTAAAAATAGAAATCAAGCTGTAAAAATGCAAATATACTTACAAACCTCAAGGTTCAGGATAGATTCTACTCAAAAGCTGTCACTTTTTTAAATGACTATTTAAAATGTTTCATTCTCTAATCACTTAAAGGCTTCAGCTACTGTAACTATTAGCAAATCAGCTTGGTCAATAGGGGACATAACAACACAGGTGCTATGGGTATCTCAGCTTGCCTGAGCCTGAATGCAGAAATGACACCAGGGTTATGGCACTCCTACCTCTGACATATAAATTGGCAGGGGCAGAATAGCGAGTGCCCGCGCTGTTGGTTGCAACACACTCATATTTCCCTTGGTCAGATTCTTCGCTCTGTTCGATCTGAAGGGCACCTGTATGGATATAAAATACATTGCCAAAGAGATGGTCAGAGAAGGCTTTCTCAGTTCAGAGAGCTAAACCTCTTAATATGAAAAGCCCTGCAAAGCGAAGGTCCGCTCAACGTCGATTCAATCTCTTGCTAAGGTGCACAGACAGAAAATGATGCGATGAGGAAAACATATACAGATTATTTTTTTTGAACATCATCAATGCTAGCATAAGAAAACAATATCTCTTTTCCCAAGCAAGACTTCTAGGCATAATTAACACTCTTATTTCCTAGACTAATAAAATGAAGATGGGTGAGACTGCTTCAAGGAAGTATGGCTTTTAAATAAAACAAAAGATTAATTTCGGGTTTGGTTTGGTTTTGTTTCATTTTGGTATCAAAAGTGGCGCAAAAGATGTTTACGCTCAAAAAAACCAGGCCGGGTTTTCAAGAAAGTCTTCTGCTGAAGAAAGGCAAAAATACGCAGCAAGCACAAAAAAAAGGCTGCACAAAGCAAAAAATTAAAATTAGTCATCATATATCATGAAAATATTACTTAAAGAAACAAAACTCCCTTAAGACATGCAGATTTTTTAAGAAAAGAAAGACAGTTTGCCACGACTTACAATCATTTATAACATTTGCTGAAAAACAAAGAGCAATTGAATTAGAAGGTTTTCCAAAAAGTTAAAAAGCACAGCCTGTGCCAGCAAGGAAGAGTTAACCAAGCACTGCTTGAGGACCTCCATTCGGATCCCCTGAGACACCCGTCAAAATCCACCAGTGGGATTAGCAGTGTGGTGTCACAAGGCCCCAAGAAAAATACAAAACAAGAAACGAACACTGAGTCAAAGTATGAAAAACAAGCAATACCACATACCACCAAGAATACTGAGCACCTTTTGTTTCCATAGCCTGAACGACAGAAGATCCAAAAATCCAGAGGCGAGTAATCCAAGAAAAAAAAGAAGCATGGGGGGGGAAAAGCTTTTGCTGTCAGGTTGTAGGCGAGTGGGATCAGGTGGAAAGGGGGGTCATTCTTTGACTTTTAAGACAGTAAGAGAAAAAAAGCATTGAAGAACAAAAGCAAAAACCTTTTGAAAGATAAAGGCAAAAAGCAGATGTTCCCAGCTGTCTTCTGCATGTCTGCCACTGTTCTCCAGACCATCTTGGCTTTGGTCCAGAACAAGAACAGCTAAGGAAGAAAAAAAATGATCTTTTTTTTTCTCCAGTTGGACAAAAAAAAAGGNGAGACCTGGATATGCTTTCTTTGAAGCATATCACAACTTAAATAATCATTTTCATAAAGAAAGAAATGAACAAAACAAAGAGAAAAGGAAAAGAATAGGAAAATTCACAATATGAGAGTCACTGATCATAACCAAACCATACAAAGGAAAAAATAAAGTTGATGGACATATTGTGGGAATGATTTTGAAAACAGGACAAAGATGAGGGAAATGAAAGGACAGGAAGAATGAGTAAGATCATTCTGTGAACGTTAGTTCAGCACTCTTACCTCTTATTGGTGTACCACCTGGGTGGATAATATGAATGCAAATAAGATTAGAAAGAAGAAGCATTAGTACGAGAAGGAGGAGGCTAGGGCTGGGGAGAAGAATTAAATTAGATTTACAGAATTAAATAAGGTCTTAAAAGAAACTTGAATTACTATACTGGTAAAACTGGAATATATTAGATAGTATTATTAGATCATAAAAGCAAGTTGCATTTTAGCACAGAGGGCAAAGACCACAATAGGCAGCATTGCTTTCTCAGAGAAGCAACTGAGTTCTCAGTCTGGGGTCATACAGGGTTAGCATTAGCTCTTAGATGCCTCATATTCTTAAAAAAAAAGAAAAAGCTATATTATACAATATTTTTTTAAAGACATCATTTAGGAAAAATACTGGCTAATCTATTTAAGTATATATATAGATACACACATATATATATATACTGTTACAGGAAATACTAAAGACTAACTAGAAATAAACAATGTTGAGAGGATATCTTATGCTACTTGCTGTGTGATATAACTTGGGTGCCATTTTATTTTTCTACACAGTGTTCTCACGATAACAGTTCTGTGGATGTGTGCGTGTGCGCGCCACTATGGAGACCTGGTGTCTACACTGACAGTTAGTAAAATGCATGCCATGCATTTTATTAATAATAATAATAATAAAAATAATAATATTCTGAATATGGAAATTAGTGGGGGTGAAGTGCGCTTCAGAACTAAGCACTTACCAATAGATTCTGGAGATTTAAATACGGAGAGAAGAAAGACAGCATAAAAATATTATTATATTCCTTATAATTTGGTACAATTTTTTTCAGAGTTAAAGCTTTATATACTAAATCATCTATGTTACATGTGCAAATTAATTCTTCATTTACAATAACAGAATGCTAATCTAGACAATTCTGCTGACAACAAGCAAAAGAGGCAGTTAACAAGACGCTTTAACATCACAGGACAGGCCAAAAGCTGAGGATTCTGGGAAGACAGGCAGTTAAACAACTTAGAATCTATATCAATATTACTCCCAATGTCCAAGTAAACAGCTTATTAGTCTATGACCCTGTGAAATTACCAAGGGACAGATAAAACTTCAGAATCTTAGAATTACCTCTACTTTAAGTCTAAAGAGAGCAAAGGAGCAAACTTGGGATGGGATGAGAGAGGACGAAAGGGCAATAGGGAGAGAGAGAGAGTGAAAGGAGCAAAAGCTGGAGTCTACACCAAAAGCAGACTTCTGTAGATCCAGTCACTGGAGGGTTCAAAAATCTCTTTAGTGTGGGCGCACACTACCGTGGCTAATGTATAGGAAATGCTCACTTACAATAATAAAAACTCCCCTCCTTTCTTTGGTACTTAGTAGAGGACTTTAAAAAAAAATACATCTGGTGACTCATGCAATAGATAACATTTCTGTGTTTCATGTATTAGTGACAAGAAAGTCGTTGTGACCCAACTTACTAAGCTTTGGTACTTTGATGAGCTCAAATGCAGAAAAGACAGAGAAAACACACTTTCGTACAACTGAATCACTTCAGTGTTTAATATGAACATTTTGGTTTTTAATGGATATAACCATTGGAACTCCTTGCAAGTTCTGAATGAAGTCCAATGTTGAGATAAACTTGTTCCAAAAGAAAACACAGAAAGGAGAAAGAAAAAGGAGAAAATGGATCCATCAAATACTGCAAAAAAGCAGTAAATTAAAAAAATTATCAAAAATACAGTCACAGCAGTGAGCAATGTGGATTAAACAGAAGCTGCAAAACACACAGAGAGAAAGAGGAAGACAGACTGAAACAGGCTATGACATCACCAACATGGACAACACATTATAACAGAGAAAGAGAGGAGGGAGAAAAATCAATACCTAAAAATTAAAAATAAATAAAATTAAAACAGAAATAAAAAGAGAGAGAAAGCTAGAAAAAAAAAGAAAGAAAATTCTGTAGGAGTTAGTAGAAACAGTAACAAGACCCTACCTGATCGTAACTGCTTAATACGGCCATTGTTGTTGCTTGTGTCGACAGGTAAGAAATCTTTAAACCAGGTGATTTCTGGATCAGGATTCCCACTGGCTGCACAGAGCATGGTGGCCGTGCGTGTGCGCTCGACCACCTTCAGCTGGGGACCCATGTCAATGGTGGGGAAGCCCCGGGGAATCTGGTCCTCTGCAAGACAAAAGGTGGTACCAACATTACATTAGCAAGTCAGATGTCCAAGGCTCAAGAGAGAGTGCCCATTCGTCTTGCCCCTTACCTCATTCACTATCTGCTGAGAAGCCAACCCAAAGCAGGCAGATCAGGGTACAGTCACAGTGTTGTCCCTGGCCAGAAGAGCACACAGTCTAAGAGGCCAACAGCCTAACCAAGAGCTCAGGCATGTAGGATAAAGACAAAATGAGGAAGGGATACATCAAGTTCCCTAGAAGAACAGAAGAAGGACTAACAGAATATGTACTGGAGGGGGCCAGTGGATACCACAGAACTCCTGGAATGGGCTTTAGGCATTGGCCAGAAAGATGGAATATCACAAGGACTGGCAATGAGGCAGGAACTTTTCATTTAGGTGAAAACCATGGCATCCAGCTGAGCTAGCTTGGATTATACACGAGGAGCAAGCAGGTTAGCTGGGTTAAGTTATCTGTGTTAGAAACTGATGCTTCTTTGGTAACTTTGAAGTAAAACTGTATTTTTTTTCACTCAAGCATAAGGTTCAACCTTAATTAATTCCTTTGTAGGGAGTTTCAGTTAATCAGACAACTGTCTGAGAGGTTCCCTTACAAAAGATGAGAACAGAGGCAAGTCAAGAAGAGCAGCAGAAAAACATACATTCTTTAGTGTAAGAGACTATTTTTTTCCATCATAAACTGCACTGCCAGCTCTTCCAGCCAGCATTAGGAAGGTATATCCTATTGGAAGGAATTTTAGTTATATGTGTGACAATTATCCAATTTAGAACTTGGCTGTTTGTTTAAAGACCATTATGAAACATTTTGACTTCTAATTGAGCCTTGATGTTAACTTAATCAACACTCCTTCATGCCTTCTGATGAATTTTCATGAGCCACCAATTCCAAAATGACTCAAAAGCATAAACATTAGTGAACAGAACATTAGAAATCATCAGATGTGGAGCCTAGCTCCTTCTTAGATGTCTCCTACAATTTCTGGAATGATGCTGTGAGTCTTGGTGAAGTCTGAGTTATAATTTCTTGGGGAAAGCCTCCATTTTTGATGCCTCCACTGTTTTGTCAGACAAATTTATGTGTTCTCTCCACTGTCTCCCCTCTGCTGTTACAGGGTTAATGCAATCTCCTAATCTGGCTGGCAAAGTCCTTGTAAACCAGGTCCCACTTTTCTGAGCCTCTCCAGGAACTTTTCTTCTCCCCACACAGTAATTCTATCCATGTCCCATACAAATTATGACTATTGAATTTTCTGTCTTTAGGAAGCCACAAAGTCAAAATCATCTTTATGAAGCTTTGTAAACATCTCCCAAATATTGGTAATCATTTCCTCCTCAGAGCTACTGCAGCAGGGAGGACCTAAGTCCATGCTTCTTAGACTTCAGATGACCACTTTCCTCTCACTATACTGTGAGCTCTTCCATGTCTCATCTGTTTCCAAACGCCTTCCCATCAAGCCAGTCTGGATTAGCAGGTTTACAAAGAACTTCTAATGATTCCCAAGCCTAAGTATGAATATGCCCCAATGATAAAAAAAAAAAAAATGGTTCTCCTACAACATGTAGTAGAAAACTATTTCTGACAGAAGGCTGGTCAAAGGAATAGTTCAGGACTACTAAGAGAGATATAGTGAAAGGATGTCAAAATACTACCAAAGAATCAAGCTCCCAAAAAAGAGTAGGTGCCTCTGAGCAAGTCCACATTATTATATGAGAAACTTGGGGAGCTAATAGGGAAAAGTGTAGCCTCTGGTTCTACCATAGGGAGATTTATAAAAGATCAAATGAAGTTGTTGAGGCAAGTTTGACGCCCGGATTTACTAGAGAATATTTTCCTGTCCTACCAGTTGTCTATGGCCAGAGACTAAAAAAATTACTAACTTCAACGAACTGCACTTTACTTAAGTTGAAAGACATGGGTCTTTGCAGAGTTCACATAACACTGTAGTTACGTGAATGCTGACACATCCTCAGCCAAGCAGAGGTCTAGAGTGGACAATTGTCAGCAACAGTGGTTAAGAATGGAATTCCAATGATTCTTCAGGGCTCTAAGGGAAAGTTAAAAATTACAAATGAGATAAAAAGTATTTTGCAAATTAGTCTGTGCTAATTTTAATAAGCTTTTCCACTTGAACTCCATCAGGCTGTTCTTTATGATTTTAAAGGTTTTGTCAATGGATTTATGTCTATGCCATAATTCTAATGTAATTTGAAGGAAAAAATAGCAAGACAAAAACATCAATGGCTTTTGTACCATGTGCATCATATTTAATATCTCACTTGGCAGCTACTGATACAAATGCTTCAAAGGATAAAACTAATAAACCTATCTATGCCATAATTCTAATGTAATTTGAAGGAAAAAATAGCAAGACAAAACATCAATGGCTTTTGTACCATGTGCATCATATTTAATATCTCACTTGGCAGCTACTGATACAAATGCTTCAAAGGATAAAACTAATAAACCTGAAGTGCTCCAAAGCCCGCTACACTGCCTTAGTTGCTTAGAAATGAGTTTCTTCAAAAGCTTTTAGATTTTGTTGTTATTTTCCACAGTTAAAGCAAGTAACTTAGGTTAATAAAAAATCTCCTTGGGATTCCTGAGCTGTTTCTGTATATCCCAGATCACTGTACCTCCCACACCCATGGCATTTAACTGCTAGTTACATTAGCAGGCATTATTAACACTGCTCAACTAGTCACTAGTTTTCTTCTACAAGTTCATCTCTCTGAAGAACCAATATTCAGTACCCATCAGTGGCAAGTGTCAGAGACTTAAGATTGTTGAGCCACTTACAAAAGGCTCTTGCCACAGAAATCTAGAATCAATAACCGTTTATAAGAAATGAAGTCCTCACCTTGGGGAGACCCGACAAACCTGGCCTGTGCCCTACCAAAAGCCATCTAATACATTTGCATGACCTTCTTTTCCTTCTTGGCTCATAAAGAACACTCCAAAGCCCCTTTCATATACACAAGTGCACAAAAAAGATAATCTTTCTTGCATATTAATAGGACAGAGAATGTAAAGAGTGCTCCTTTCTTATTTTTAATGAGGGTAATTAAATTCTCTCCAACCCCCTTTGCACAGAACCTCTTTGAATACACTTTCTTCATTAAATTTTCATGAGAAACATCACAATGTAACAGATTCAAATAGCCAAAGTTGTTACACGTTGACAGTTGTGGCTTGTTTCCAATTTGACTGTCAGGTATTTGGCAATAAAACTCAGTATTCAACATAAAACGAACTGTAGAAATAATGAAATTTCTAATTGGAATGCCTATCTTATTAGGCATAGTTTTAGAAGAAATTAATTGCTTTTTTTTTCACTCTCTACCTTTATCAGTGATTTATATAAAACTGCCTTGGCCATTTGAGAACATCAATTTTGACAGCTCATCCAATGTGTGGTACCAGGAACTTGGGGAGAAAATCAATACCTTTTGTATCTTAACCATGTCAACTTTTATAGGAAAAAGCAGCTAATCAAAAATTAACAAATTGTCAATATGTTAGTAGTCTTTAAACTTATACATGAAGTAAAAAGAAAAACATTTTGTCCTGTTCATTAATGTGCTCATTAAGCTTTAAAGTGCCTTACTTATCACTGTTCCATATTAATATTCAATCATGCAGAATTAGCTACTAATTCATCAACAATTTAAATCAGACTTGACCTTCACAAAGCCATTTGGTCTGTCATTTTGAGAGGCCATTAAAGGGCAGATGACTACATACTTGTGCTTAGTGAATCATAGAAGTCATATATATTTTGTTTGGAATGGCAGCTATAATAGACCTGGAAATATAGCACATTCTTTGACTCTGTTTGGTGTCTTAATGAAATATGCTGATATGAAACATACAGTTCCATTAAGGAAAGAGAAAATGAATGTCAGCATTTTCCAGAGTTAACTTCCCATTGCTGTACAACTTCTGTTAATAACCCCTGACCTACTGAGGACTTGAAAGTAATGTATGGGGGAAATAGTCTGACGTTGTTTGGCAGGGAGTCATGCTTTAGATTATCTGTGAATGATCAAGAGGTAGCTTTTGAGTAATTTGCTCAGTTAAATTACTTCCACTGTTCATCCATAAACAATTTTAATGATGCTTTTACTTTTGCTCCACTTCTACAAACACTGAACTTCTCTTTGATAGGAAACCACAAAACTAAATTGCTGTTAAGGCCACAGATGCCTTCCAAGGTAGCCACAGGCAGTTCTTGCCCAATCTCGCTAGAACTCTGCGTGAATTAAACCAGGACTAATACAGTGCTCCCAAATGACTTAAAGAAGTTTTCAATGAAGGGCTCTTTGTCATGGTACCACAATCCCGATTTCGCAGATTTATAGCAAATATGTTTATGAGGAAAAAGCATGTCATTTACACCAACAGTATGCTTTTCCAAAAAGAGTATTAAAAGATCTGGCAAATGTACCTGACCATTTAGATATTACTGACAATGTAGAGGTTTTAGAGAAAATGGCAGTATAATAAAGCAAAATTACAATCTGGAGGAAGAGACAAGCATGTCTTTTTTTCTCATCCCCTTGAAACACTTTTCTGAGTACCTATGCAGTTCACACCTGTTTCTCACTAAAAGCTCTCCATTGGTAGTACCAATAAACTCCTTATTATAGTTACTATGTAAACTTGAACTCCTAAACTCGTGGAGGGCAGGGGCTAAGTGTTATTTCTTTTTTAAGCATCAGTAAATAAGTTTCAATAAATACTTGCAATTAGACATGTTTAGGGAATTTTGGCAAATATTTCAGCACTTACTGTGTGGCACCTCTGCATTCCTACTGGGTTTATTGAATGTCACTCCTTTAAAAGTTAATCATTCTTTGTTTTGTGGCTATACATTTGGCCTCCCCAATTTGAATATAAGTCTAAGAGGCAAAAATTAATTTATAATCTCTATTTTTTAGTATCTTAAGTAGTATTAGATTTATAGACTCAGAAAAAGTTGTT